CATAGCCATCTTAGTCAGATGGATTAGAAAAGACGGTTGTTGTTTTTTCCATCTTTTCATAATCCTTCTTACGCATAGTAACTCGTCGTCTTTGAGGTCGACGACGATGATCATCGACAGTAATGCCATCCTCTATGGCTCGATGATCATTGAGCAGTTGTTGTCGTCTTCTTTGTCGACGACGTTCCTGCTCTTTTCTTTTAATATTAAAAATATTATTTTTGTTTTGTCTATAGGACATTAAAACTGAATGAATAATTTTATTTTTCTTTTTAAAAAAATTAAATCAATAAATTACAAAAAGTGTAACAAATTTAATATATTCAAAAAAACTGTAAGAGTTATAAAATATCTTTTATTATGTCAAAATTATATTCATTATGAATTTTATGAAAATACAAAATATATAATTCTTCAATTTAATTATCTATAATTCTTTTTTTATGTTTTTTTTTTTTAAAATAAAAATATTTAAATATTTTTATTACTTAGAAATGAAATTAAACAAGAAATAAGAAAAAAGAATTAGATTATATAGAAATTAATCAATTTCTATTTTATTCACCTTCCAGGCATTCTCTGAAGTGTTGCCTTTAAAAGGTTTGCCACCAATAGATGGTCCACTTAAAGATAGAACTTTTTCACATTTAAGAGAATTATAACCACGAGACACTCTTTCAAATGCTTTCATAGTTTTGAACATATGATATGATAATGTATCAGCATCCATTCTATCGAAATAGAAAATTAAATGACGGACACTATAACTAAAATCAATAACATCTAACTCCCATTTGCGCAATTTTGATTTAATTTTCTCTCCCATCTCCTCATTCTCTTCCTCTTCGGCTACTAAATTAATAAATTGTAGAAGTTGAGTGGTTGAAGAATCATCGGTATTCTCTTCGTCTGAAAATCTAGATGGAAGTTGTGATGAAGTAATGTTGTTGTTGATGTCACTCATTTATTAATACGCAGGCGTTAGAGGAACTACCATTAAATAAGACTAGGGTACGACATTCAACATGCCAATAAAAATATTTTAATTATAAAATAGTAAAAAAATAATAAATACAATAATTTTGTTTTATTTTTATTATTAACATTTTAATATAATTAATAATATTTTTATTATATCTTCTGAATGAAGAATTACATAAAATGTATTATTTTTATATTCTTTTTGTTTTTATTTTTCAAAAATAAAATAATAAAGTTGCATAAAGTGGAATAATTTATAAAAATGTAAGAAAAATAGAATATTCAAAAAGTGTAAGAGTTATAAAATATCTTTTTATTACTTCAAAAATATCTATAATAAGAAAATTATGAAAATAACGAATATATAATACTTCAAAAATACGTATGAAATGAAAAATATACGAAAAGAGATGAAAATAACGAAGATATAATACTTCAAAATAAGAAAATATCTAAGAATAGATCAAAAATATCCAACAATCGTTCATTTTAAATGGAATACCTCAAAATATATGTATCTGTTCTAAAAATATCTGTATCTATTCTAAAAATAAAAATATAAATCTATTTATAGAAAAATGGTATTTTAAAAACAATAATAAAAAAATAAAAATGTTATATAAAACAATAGTAATAAAAAATGTTATTTATCCCAAAAGGACCAGATTTTCCCACTGTGTATATATGATGTATCACACTATTGTCAAATTGTACCATAGAAAAATATTATAAAAAGATATAATTATAATTCAATAAATTTAAATTTAAATTTAAATAAAATGAATAAAAATATTTAAATAGAAAATAAATTATTTTGAATTAATTTAATTCATTATCCAATTAAAATTTATTTAAATATGAATTAAATAATATTTAATTTGTATTTGTTGTTTCTCTTTACTTATTCATTCTTTTTCTGTATTATTCATCATTCATTTTATTTCATTAATGATTATTTTAATTTATTTGATTTCTTTTTGAATTTATATCAACTGAATTAATATTACATTATATTTTATATGTCTGTTTTTATATTCTCTTCTTTTCTATTTATTATTTTACATATCCTTCATGATGTATTATTTACAGCAACGAAAAAAAAGCAAATAATAGAAAAAAGAATATAAAGATATAAAAGAATAAAATGAAAGAATAAAAGTAGAGAATATAAAAATAAAGAAGACAAAGAGTAATAAATCAAAAAGAGATAATAAAATATGAAAAGAAGAAATAAAAAGTGTATTTTTAATGTAAAAATTAGAAATATTCAATAAAAGTGTCTAATTTAAAGATGTAAAATGATTAACAATATTTTATTAATGAAAAATATTTTACTCTTTTTATGTTTATTATTTATATGTATAACTTCATCATGATGTTTATTATATAATCAATCATATGTGTTATGTTATTATAACATATAATAAGTGATAAAATATAAATGAAAATGATATGAATATATGATATAGAATATAAAAACAAAAGAATAATAAGAATAAATGATAAATAAAATGAGAAATGATAATCAATGATATAATAATAAAATCAAATATAAAATATAAAATTAATATTAATATAAAACAAAAGAGAATAAATATAAAATGAAAATAGATATAAATGATAATAATATAAAAGATGATAAAGATGAATAAACAAATACAACTAAATATAAAAGAATAACAATAAGAAAATCTAAATAATATAAACATAAAAAATAAGAAAATCTAAAGAATATAATAATATATAGATAATAAGAAGAATAAAATGATATAAATAATATAAACAGAGAAATAAATATATAAAAATACGATAGATAAATAACATATAAATAAAAGAATAAAAAGAATAAAAATAAATATGAATAATCAAATCATCTATTTCATTAATATTTCATACAGAATGAATAGAAATGATTATAAAATATAAACATAAATATACAGATTGTATATTTATCATACTTTTTTATTTTTTTATTTATTTTATGAGCAAAATATAATAAATGGAATATTCTATGGATGCAAATTATTTTGCATCTTTTTTCATTTTTGTAAATTATTTAGATGCATTTTTTCTTTGCTTATTTTCGTACCCAAGATGAAATATTTAAAGATGGAAGAATATT